CACGAATATTGCGGTCTACTAGAAAAGCAGCACCGAGACCTGACGTGGCTCTGTAGCAGAGTATTTCATTGCCATGCAGAATGTTGGATTTTCTTCCTGCTGTTGGGATTTTGATAAAAAAACGGAGCATTTTTTTAGTGAACTTACGTGGCTTTGAGCGTATATATCGGTATATCTATTTAGCTGTGTACGTTTGTGAGCTCTTGTGGTAGTTTGGTTCACCCCCTGAACATAGTGTGAACAAAGATTGGCATCGAGGGTAAGATAGTTCAATGAATAAGAAGCACTGGTCATTGATTTGATTGATTGATATGTGGGATTTGAGGTCCCAAATCTACTATATGATTATGAAAGATGCCGTAGTAGAGGGCTCCGGAAATTTTGACCACCTGGGGTTCTTTGACGTGCACCCAAATCTGAGCACCCAGGCTTACAACATTTCCGCCTTTATCGGAGATGCAGTCCCCCAGCCGGGATTCGATCCCGTGACCTGCGGGTCAGCAGCCGAGTTCCTTAGCCACTAGACCACCGTGGTGGGGCGATAACAAAGCTTGAGAAAAAGAACGAGGCAATACTAAAGAATCAACCATCATGATTTCTTCTAACCATACGAAAACATATAATAAAAACTTTCTTTTTTGTTTTTCTCGTTTTGATAAAATACCATAATTGGTTGGTTAGTTGTTCTTCAGAGTCCTGGCGCAAACCACCATGGGGGATCGGCCATGAAAGGGATGGTGCCTCATTTGTGCGACCAAATTGTTTTACCAACTGGGATATTTAAAAAGGGCTGTTTGAACAAAGAACATGATGGTAAACGATCGATTAGATAAAAAATAAAGGTAATAAAAACCAGCAAGCCAATATAGTTTGAAATAAAGTGAATTCAGCCTCAGCTTAAGATTCTATTTGTTTTGTTTTCTTTAGAAAATCGCATACGGCCTCGCAAATGTTACTTTGACTAAGTCTCTTTTACGTTGCTTTGAAGGAAATGACCACCAGAAGGGATAAATTTAGAGCCAACCTACGGAGAGGTTCTTTTACAGTTTCTTCCTTTGATTTGTATATAACCTGCATGTTAAGAAGAAATGATGAAGGGGTGCACTCTCAATTTAATGGAGGCATAAGGGAGACTGTGCAAGACCAGACATGTGTGGATAAAAATTCAGGGGGGGGGGGGGGGACTCGGCATCGTATTCGTCTCGTAATTAATATCTTCACCATCAATTTTTTCAGGGGTACTTAAGATGAGAAAAATCAGATGTTGCCAAACGAGAATTTTCAAAATAATCTCATAAAATAAGTTTTTCAAAGCGTGCGAAGGCGATAAATGCGAGAGGCGGCATTATAGAAAGTATGGGATAAATATGTGAGGCAATGCGAGTGCATATGCATATTCATTTAGGGTTGACCCTTCATGCCCTGGTATCCACACCAAGCGAATGAGTCGTAAACGTCATTGGCAAGGGCATAAAATACTTTAAAGCAATGAACATATTAGGTGCAGTTAATGAACTACTCACAGACAGGCAGTCTGAAAGAATAATAACATTCGTTATTGATTGAGGCAATTTCCGTAATGTTAAGAAAATTGCAAGTGATTCCGCTTGAATCAATAGGAACAGTTGAGCGATACTTGGAAGGCACAGGACTCACTTGCTCTCCGGAGAAATCAGAACTTTTTCTCTATAGGCCAGCAATCGGAGGCAGACCAGCCAAGTCAGAGGAAAACAAGCGGCAATATGAGGAAATTAGGATTCATACACAGGAGGGCACAGCTATAACAACAGTTTCAAAAATACGGGTACTGGGATTAGTCATCGAGGCTAACGGTGCCAAGGGTGAGACTATACGCCGAATAAATGCCAAAATCACGAATGCGATGAGACTGATTCGCAGGGTCATGAATAAACACAGAGGTATAAAAGAAGCCAACGTAATTCGTCTAATCCAGGCCTTCATCATAAGTCACATAACGTATGTAGCAGCATACCACAACTGGCAAAAAGCTGAAACTAACAAAATAAATGCACTCATCCGGAAGGTCTACAAAGAAGCGATAGGAATACCTGAGTATGCTAGCACAGACCTTTTTCTTCAGCTAGGACTACACAATACGCTTGAAGAGATTATACAAGCTCAGCGGATATCCCAGCTTGAAAGGCTCACTAAAACAAAAACGGGAAATATAATTAGTAGATTAGGAATCATGTACCACGCACAATATGGTGTCAAACTTGACATCCCAAATACAATCAGAGCAAAGATCGTCTCTAACCCGATACCGAAAAACATAAACCCCATTATCAACACGGACCGCAGAAAACACCGAGCCAAAGCACTGCTCAGAGCACACGGCACGAACAGTAAATTTCTTTTTTTAGATGCTAGGCCATACCCTGAACGAAAAGCTCACACTGCTGTCGTGATTGACACGTCAAGCATTTGTATAATTTCATGCTCTGTCATAACAAACAATATAAAGGAGGCTGAGGAGGTAGCAATAGCCATGGCTATCCCCTCCAACAAACACCCATTCATACTGAGTGATTCGCAAGTAACAATTTGAAATTTTACGCAAGGACGGATTTTACAGCAAGTCCTCAGAATCCTCGGTAATAACCAAGAACTACACATAGTAGATGAACTCAAATACCTCGTATGGTTCCCAGCGCACACAGAGACTGATACACCCAATCCTAACGAGCTGGCTTATGAGTTGTCGCAAGAATTAAACCACCGCGCAACCCGTCCACGCCGCTCAGTGAACATCTCTGGCGCCGCCGACGTACCACACAGAGACCGATTTACAAGCTACACGGAATACATGCAACACTACAGAGAAGCAAGGCGCGTCTTTCCCGCACCTCATCCTAGTCTAAACAGGCAAGAAGCATCAGAATACCGACAGCTACAGACGAACTGCTACCCGAAACCTGTGCACCTCCACAGGAGCTAGCCACACTTATACCCGGACAATAAATGTAAGATATGCGCAACAGAAAACGCGTCTTACAAACCTATATAATAAGAATGCCCCAACTTATCACCAAGTTCTCCTGAGGTCCTGCGGCAGCAGTGGAGGCTTGTGCTGCTCAGCTCGGAGGTTCAAGACCGAAAATAGGCTATCCATCAGGCCAGCGAGGCTGTACAGAGTCAAGGTCTCCCGGTACCTCCTTCTGCGGTCTAGCCCGGACCACAAACATGCCAGATAATAAAATAAAGTTTATTCGTCATTCATCATTCCGCTTGATAAATACGTGTAAAAACGGGTGAAAAAATTTAAGAAGACCAATCCAACACTGAGGATGCAATTCCGACTCCTGCTTTGTCTTCGCAAACTGAAGCATCAGTTGCTCTTGCAATCTTTATACCTAATCTTGCCAGCTGGTGGTCTTTAAAAATTGCATTTAGGTATCTACTGAGAAGATGTTTTGCAATTATTGGAAAATATATTGTCGAATTCTATTTTCAGTGTTTGAATAGGTGTTCTTAGTACTAGTACCTCACGAAGATTACCTTGTAATGTTTCCAAGAGCTTCCGTGCAACGATGACTTGTGGCCGCTTTAATCTAGATCACTGTTGGTTAAAAAAGGACGTCGGATCATTGATGGAAATATACTGCGACCTCCTCTGTGTGGATGCATATATTTTAAAAAGGTACAAACTGCTAGTATTTAACAACTAGCACGAAGAAAAGGCAGGCACACTTCCTTACGTTTAGTATTAATTGCGACAAACTTATGGAGCCCAAGGCATAAACGTAACGCTTCGCGTTCTAGGAGTACCAGTGGTCCAGCTTCGCAGGCGGATGCTCCAGAAAAAAAGACATAGCCAAACTGCAATATTAGGCAAATATGCATACAGTATATCATGATCAGCTCATCACCACGAGAGCAGAACGTTCATTGCTGAATCTACGAAGCATCCAAGGCGTCCGTACTCCTTAAGCTGCCATATTTTTTATATGCGGACTCCAATTTCGGTTTTCAGTATAGTGACTCCTTAGTATTTAATCGAATACACCAGCAGGATAAAATCCCATCTGTAATGTAGAGAAATCTGCACTGAACCTAATATGAAAAACTACGATTGTACTTTTCCTGATGTTTATTGATAGAATAATGTCGTCTAACTATGTGTCCAGAGCATTCTTATAAAACTGGAGCATCTGATATAGTGTATGTATATCCGTAGCTGTAGCAAAAATTGAAGTCGTCAGCGTATACATACACCTGTACATTATGTTGTACTGGAATTGTGCACAATAAAATAATACATAATAGTGGTCATAGTACCGGACCTTGGGTGAGGCCTCTAGTTGGGGAGATTATAGTCTGTTATAAACAACAAATAAATCGTGTTTTCTTTTTACCATGCATAGTCCTTAATTTCTCACTCACTATGAAAACTGGCTTCTTGGCCGATTTATTTTACTGGGTAAGAGCCACTACAAAATAGCAAGAAACCATGCAAACACGGAGGGAAATAATTTTGGCACTGTCAAGAATAATAGGGCAATTTTTTATAATATTTGATCTTGAAAGCTTCCAATATATACACGACGGCCATGGAATTTTATTGCGAAGCTGTGTGTCACGAGCGCAAAAAACTGCTTTCGCGTCATTTAGGCATTGTGGTTGCTGCCTGCTAGTCTCACAAGGATTACGCAGGATAATGGGGTAAAAATAGATAGAACTAATTACCTGCTCTGATTTTACTAACACTAAGCCCTGGTGTCACATATATAGGACATGGCATCATTTTTCTTGTATAGTGATGGGGCGCTCAACATACTTTAAATTCGTGCTCTTAGAGTTGTAGTAAAGCAACATGAACAGAAAGCAAAAATATGTTCCCGCAAGATATTTTGAGGGCAGAAAGAGTTTCAAGATGTAAAAATTTTTTTATTTGCCAACCAAAAAATTTTGCTTTATGTGCTATACAGCACCATTGGGAGACTAATAAAGTCAGTTAATATCGTTCTGACACCATGCAGGAACACGTGGCTACTTGTGACCTCCTGCATCCTACTCAAACGTGTTGGCTCCGCAGAGGGTGCCGTCCAAGGTGGAAACTCCTCGGCTGTGGCAATCTCTAGCGGCACCGCCGAGGAGGTGTACGGGTGTATGTGTGTGCCCAAGGGTGAATGCAAAGATGACACCGTGACCGCAAAGGAAAAGCCAGCTAAGGTGGGTAGATCTGCCTCAGACTTCACTGTAGAGAATTTTCAGTATAAACAAATAACCCATCGCAATTTCATCGTAATTACTGTGCATTCGGTACGAATACTAAAATGCTCAGTTGCAAAGTAGTTTTCCGCGCCTTCTTTGTGGTTAATTTTAACCAACATAGCCACAGCGATAGCGTTAAACAACATAGCCGCAGCGATAGCGTGCCTTTCTGTGCCTGTAGTTCCTGGAATAATCAGCAATCCACCATGGTGAATTACCGTTCTACTTCAAAGTTATGACCGTAAATTAGGATTATTCGCGGGAATTCTGTAGAAAATGTACAAAATGTTCATAGTTTCTTAAATCGCGCTTCTATTTTATAGAGAAGTAAGTGAAGAAAGCAAACACTCTTTAAATTTACTATAATTTATAAACGTAAGTACATTGGAAGCTACGAATACTACCAGACTTCTCACTTCACACGTAATCGGCACATCATCGCTGTTTGTTGCGCAGTTAACTAAGGACCTGCGTCGGGCTTTCTTAATTTAAACAGGTGAGATTGTTATCTTGGGGCCACTCCCACAAACTGCTACCCCACCATAGCTGTGGCATTGCACGTACCTGTCCGCTTCAGCTACGGAAGGTGCGGGGTTCCATACCCAGTGCCGGCCGGCCACCCATCGGTAGCTAAACAGAGAACAGGCGGGCTTCAAGGGGCTGTCACGCGCCGCCCCAGTGGTGAAACTTTTTCTGCCTGGAGGACTCCCAATTCGATGCGCGGGACCCGGTACAAACGGTTACCTCACGCATCAATTTCTACACCCCACGTGACATGATGGGCGTTAAAACCTCCTGTCAATAAAATATTTCTTCCACACGAGCCAATTAGGATCTCCAAGGGCCTTGTATGATGTACGCCTGACGGAAAATGAACAGTGGCTATTGTAAATGTCTCACGAGAAGGCAGAGTTGTCTTTATAGCTAAAATTTAAAATTCCAAGGACCACAGCTTTAGGAGAGGAGAGGAAGAAAGTTTAAGCGGAAAGACAGGGAGGTTAGCCAGTTCTTAGACCGGCTGGCTACGCTGTGCTGGGGAAAGGGGTGAGGGGAATAAAATACGTAAAAAAGAAATGTTGCGAAGAGATAGAGAAACTACAAAAAAAAATCGACAGATGAAAGGCAACATCAAGGAGTATAAGACACTAGTCTGTCTCTGAGGCCAGTTGTCCACAAAAAGCGCAGCAAAGCTTTCAAGGCCTTCTGAGCTGAGGATGGGCTTGGCCAATGACCCAGAATCCTTTGTTCCGACAAAGGCCGATCGTCCGGGCTATCCAGAGATGCAGTGAGGTCTTGTCTTTGCACGTTGAAATGGGTGCACTCACACAGAAAGTGCGCGATGGTTTCTTCGCAGCTGCAGTAAGTGCATGTAGATGAGCTGGCCGTTCCAATGAGATAAGAGTATGCGTTCGTGAAGGCCACTCCAAGCCACAAGCGGCATACAAGAGCCTCCTCAGCTCGAGATATCCTTTGGGGAAGACGAAGCTGCAGATTGGTATCCAAGTTATCCAGGCGCGCGTTTCTGAAGTCTGTTTAGTTCTACTGTACCAGTTTGAGGTCACGCGCAAGCGAACATAGTCTTGTAGTTGCGTTGGTTCTTGAGAACAGGATGGCTGTGTATTGTGTACCATCGTATGCAGATCTAGTGGCCTCATCTGCACGGTTTTTGTCATAAACAACGCAATGACCTGGTATCCACTGATACACTATGCTGAGCTGTTTTTCAATTGCTTGGGGATTAAAAAGCCTTATTTCAGCTACTAGCTGTTCATAAGGTCTATGGCGAAAGGGTTACTTGAGACATTGAAGAGCTGCCTTCGAGTCCGAGAAGATAGACCAAGTTCCCGAAGGTTCTTCAACTAAGAACTCCAGAGCTGCACGTATGCCGGCGAGTTCTGCAGCTGTTGACGTCGTCAAATGCGATGTCATAAATTCAATTGTGATGTGCCTCGCGGCAATGATCACCGCCCCTGCAGACCTTATTGAAGACACGGAGCCATCCGTGTAAATGTGAAGGCGTCCGTTGTGCTTCTCTTGCCTAAAGAGTAATATGGCCTGCTTCAGAGCTAGATGCGACGACTTTTTCTTATTTTGGATTCCAGGAATCCTAAGAAGGGCTTTGAGTGGGTGTAGGCACCATAATAGTATCGGCGGCCATGCTGCATGCGTTAAGTGCAATAGAAGCACTGCGCAATGCTGAGCTACAGTTGCGCTGAACGCTGAGCGGGGCCTAGGAGTTCGAAGTGAGACGAGCTGATGAGATGGAAGCCGAGTGAAATGTCCTTTGTCATTCTCAAAGCGTCTACGCGGATGTATGCATTGATGGGATAATCACGTGCAATGATGACTGTCGCTGCTGTAGACGTGCATCCCGGGAGACCAAAGCATATTCTCTGTGCTTGGACTTTGACAGCAGCTTTAACGTTACCTTAGCTTTATGGCAAAGGCTGTTTGACATCAATGTCGTAATGCCACCATCTCTAGAAGGGCGGTTTAGCCTAAACTAACGGTAATTCTTGACATAAAAGCTGTTGTCTGGATTAAGCCAAGTTTCTTGTAACAATAATAAATCTGGATTCAGCTGACAATTTAGACAGTGTAAACCAGTAATTGCAGGAAATAATGAACGATCATTTCACTGTAAAACGTTTAAATATGCTATTTTGTTGAAGTAATCGTTGCGGAGACAATTTTCTCCCAAATACTCGCCTTGCAAGATTAACTGGCCTGGTTCTTTTTTAATTTCGCTTGTGGGAACGTAGAGTTTGCACGGTTCAGCGGGGATCGACTACGTCTCTGAACACAGGCATCAATTTCCACAACAGTAGATACGTTCAAGTCCCGCATGGGTTCCTCACCATTAGAAGGTGAACATGCATCGCAGTCATTGCAGCTATCAGAAGCATGGATTTTATCAGTTATCGGATTTACCTAATTGGCCGTAGGCTGTATGTATAACTCGAAGGGACCTCTTGGTTGTGGGGTTAGAAGCTTAGCGATTTGATAGCTTACGACTTGAGCAACACATTCGGAGATGCTGACAACTAGCTCATCCATCTCCCTAGCCATAGATTTTGCAACAGCTACCTCGACTGCTTGTGCAATGCTCGTCTTCGTGAACGTCGTGCAGTAACGCCGGCATAACCATACTCTTTTTCATTGATAATTGCTATTGCCTCCGTTCTAGAGCATCTCCTTTTATAAATGATCTCAAAACTTCCATTTCTTATTGTATAATTGGACAATCTGTGTAGTCAGCATCATGTGGACCAGCACGCAAACAACGCATGTCCTCTTGAGCCATACATTTTCCATATTTGTGGAATACACAACATTTGCTGCATCGCCCCTCTAATTTACAGCCACCGGCACTATGAACAAACCTCCAGCAGTTCCGGCATTGTAACGGATGAAATGTCAATTGATCTGCTTGAAACAACAGAGGCCACGCTTTAATTTCCGAAGGACATGAGGTGCCAGCAAAAGTGGCAGTCACTGACTCTGTTGGAACGCGCTTGTTTGTCCACAACCCGATTGTGTCGATAAACTGCCATTACACCTGCCACAGAGCGCTTTTCTGGAGTTTCAGGGGGGCTTAGCTGCGCGTCTACACCTCGTACGATTTTTTTATTTGTGCAAGCGATATGAGGTGCAAAAAACGCACTCACCGGAATTCATGAGAAGGATGAACGTTTGAGAAGGTCTTTTACACATTCCTGGTCTGGCAATCTGCATAATATCCCACCGCGACCAAACTGCCGCACGTCTGTTATGGTCTGGTAGTTTGGGGACACTGCAATAAAGTGTTCTTGAATGGCCTGGCTGGGTTTCAACTTAATGAAGTGACCACCCAAAAATGCTAGTGCAACGGGATTGCTGCTCACACCATTGTGAAAAAAAAATGTCAAGAGGAAGGTCATTATGCCGTAGAGAGGCCGTCCACGGGCAACGTCTCTGTTCTTGACCAGGAGAATTTCTGGACATCAGTACGCCTTCAAGTCAGTCAAACAATAAAAAAAAGCTTAACCAGCTTTAAATGACTAAGAAGGCGCTAAAGATCCTATAATACAGGAAGACTACCCGGTACTTAGCCAATCAAACAAGCAAGTGTATCGCATTTTCGAAGTGCGGGAGACGCGCAAAAAAGCGTTTCGTTCTCTTTTTTCAGTGGCAAATAACGATATCGTTTGGCGGTGAAAGCACCAAATTGGTGCGTCCGAACAAAGTCGGTAGTGAGAATGGCAATTTTACGCAAGCATAGCTGAGGGCCGGTGTTCATATGGCTCCAGGCGCACAATGTGAACAATGTCAGTGTAAATTTTTCTGGTGAGCGTCGGATACATCCAGCTCCTCCACACAAGTTTTTACGGGGAGACCACAGAATAAAGGTGTATTTACAATATTCATAGAATTAAAGTGATCGGGAAAACAACAGACAAGACCCGCCTCTTCTTCGTCCTCTAGGTCAGCGCACATAGTGATATCATCCACGTGTGTGCACGTGCTTAATATCTAAGTGCTTGAGATTTACAATGCGTGCTCATTAACGAGCTCAACTATATTGCAGTAGTAAAGTAAGCAAGAAATGCTCAGCAGCGTATACGACAGGAGGAAATAGAAGAGACCTGTCGCCTGCACTGCTAAGCACTCTTTATCGTGTTGAACCCATATGCCCAACCGTACTGTCTCTCAAAGTAGCGTAAATTTGTTTTCGTTTTCGGTGCACAGGTGGGCGCACTGAATGAGTGTGGCCCCGAACAGGTGTGCTGCTTCCACCTGATTGTTCGCACAGAGAAGACGGTGGAGACCCACTCCTTCCTGTTCCCGCTGCGAGAAGCACAGGTTGCCCTCGCTGAGAAAGGCGAATTTCCGTGGCAGGTAAATATTCGCTTTTGCGCCATGCATTGCTCAGTACGGATGATTTTTTAGCTTAGCATTCTGTGCTATTCTGCCGTGTCGTCTCTGTTGCTGTCACATAAGTTATTTATTTATTCCGTTTTGTTTTATTTGCAAAATACCCTACGAAAAAATGGGTCCATTGTAGAGTAGCGGAATAGCCCGCCTCGCTGCCAAGCCTGACGGAAGTACGGAGCTGGGTCTTCTGTTTTCTTTTTTTCTCCCTATATTTTTCCCGTCTGCTTCTGTCTCTCGCTTACTTCCATTTTTTTTCATGTACACGCATGGTTTCGCTGGCGTCACGCGAAGCGTGAGCAACACGCGGCGTCTTGGCACCGTAAAGTGCTCCGCACTTGATATTGTCACTAACCCCCAAATGCAGAGATCTTACTTTACTCGTACTTCACTCGTTCTTGACTCAAGACAGTCTTGCAGCTCGCTATAAATTGTTCGCGAACTTGCGGACGGCATCAAGGCGACTTGGCTCGGTTGAAGTCAAGACAAGTTTCAAGTATGCTGCGGGGCTAGCTAGAAAGCGATTTCATGCGTTATTCCAACATGGTCACCTCTCGAATGGACGTCGCACGGAGGTTGAGCGCTTTAAGTTTGCTTGCCTCGCCATAAGCGTATACATAGCATTTTGTGAGGCGCACTGCCTGCCGAAGATTCCTCGATCCACTTTACGTGACCGAGGAAATCCGATGAAGCTGTACGTCGAGCAACGATTCCACGCTCTGTACGGATTCACGAAGAACGCCGTGCGTCAGCTACTGGCTACGTTGCCACTGTGTGAAAGAGAGGATTACCGAAGACATCCTGTGCCTACAGTGTTAAAGCTACTGATGGCACTCACGTTTTACGGCGCTGGCACATTACAAACAGTCACCGGGAACCTCGTCCGCATTCCGTAGTCGACAGTGTGCCGTGCAGTCCGAAAAGTTACGCTAGTTATCGCGAAGCACTTATACGCGATGCTGGTGCACTTTCCGCAGCCGTCAGCACTTCTTACAGTTATGCGGGATTTTTATCACTGTAAGGGGTAAAGTGTTCAAAAACTGGCGTCAGATCTCACTCGCCGTGTGCGTACGATGGCTGTTGACCTAATAAGTTGTATCGGGTGTTACTGTGAATGCATTGCGGCCATTATCCAAATGTGTTTATTATGCTGTGGTGATATCGAGGAAAACACTGAAACTCTCTCTCAGCTGAGCAGGAGAGAGAGAGAGAGAGGAAACTTTATTAGAACTTGGCCGGCAGCTTGGTCTTGGTGGCCTCAGATGGCGGCGCTGAGTCCCTGAACTCGAGCGGCATCTTCGGCCTGCCGGACAGCCCAGAGCTGGTCGTTGAGCTCCGAGCTTCTGAGCGCCGCCTCCCAGCGGTGGCGTCGCCGACGGAGAAGGTCCCCCGCGGCTCCCGCAGACGGGACGGCGGCGGGAACGAGTGAGCTCGAGGCTTCCTGTTGCCTGGTATTGGCAGCCGCCATAGGCGCATCGCGAACGGCGGCCGTTTCTCGACCATTGTTATCGGCGCATTCCCAGAGCATGTGGCGCAGCGTTGCTCTGTGCCCGCATGCTTTACATAGATCGGTAATGTGTAAGTGCGGGTAGCAGTGGCCTAAGACGACCGGGCTTGGGTAAGAGTGGGTTTGTAGTAAGCGATAGCTTACGGCATCGTGCCTGTTTAATTTGTCATGCGGTGGCGGGAACTTTCGCCTTTCTAGTCTGTAGTGTTGCGTAATATCTCGGAACGTGATGAGACGATCACCCCACGACCATTGTGGTCTGTGTTGTCGCTGCGTGTCTGTCAAAGTGTCTCGATCCGGCAGATCAGAAGCCCCGTTCTCGGGAGCGGAGGCGGCGGCCACGGAATGTGCCGCGGCTCGGCGAGTGAGACCTCGAGCCGCGGCGTGGGCCGCCTCGTTGCCCGGAAGCGGGACATCGGTGTGTGCCGGGGTCCAAAGGAGGAAGACTGTTAAATTTTGTTGTGGCGATCGCGACGCTGAGTCACCATCACCGCACGTCTTAAGGATGCGGGCCGCTTCCCGCGAGACGCGGCCGCGCGCGAAGCCGCGGATTGCTGCCTGCGAGTCGCTGATTACGATCGTAGCGTTCGGCACCGTGGCGATTGCTAGGGCTATCGCGGCTTCTTCGGCCGCCTCCGTATGTCCCGTGGTCACCGTGGCGCTCGCGAGGCATTTGCCCGCACGGTCAACGACCGCAGCGGCGTGTGCGTGTCTCCCGTCCCCATATCTCGCGGCATCTACGTACACAACTTCGTCGCTAGTGCCGTACTTCTTTTGAAGGTCACTAGCTCGCTGGTTACGGCGCCCGACGTGGTGCGTCGGGTGCATATTCTTGGGAAGCGGCGGAACAATTAGGCGGTCGCGAACCGAGGCACGAACATCCGCTTTTTTTCCCTGCTGAGTGTGGTACTGGATGCCAAGTGACTCGAGGATGTGTCGACCCGTCTTAGACCCCGACAAACAGAAAATATTTGAGGCTATCATGCAGATACCGTCATGGATTCAAACGCAGACAGACATTCTTAACTAAATTCGTTCGCTTCGTTCCGAACAGCAGGCGATTGAATCAAAAGTAACGGAACTGGCTGCCAAGGTGAAACGCGCACAAACGTGCGCCTCGTCTGTACCGCCCTTAAAAGCGGCAATTGAAAATCTGTGCACACGTTTTGAAACAACTATTTAATCACTGGCGGCATTGAACGATGGCCAAGATGATTTAGATAATCGATCGCGCTGTAACAACTTGATAATTTATGGCCATCTGGACACTGTAAACAAATCATGGGCAAAATCTTATGAAAAGTTATTTCCTTTTTTTTTTGATAAACTATATATCTCAGTCAGTCCAACATCCATTGAAAGAGTGCACCGATTGGAGAAGTACCAAGTAGAATCAACATGGCCGCTGATTGTCAAATTCTTGCCATTGAAAGATAAACAACGTGTGCTTGCGGCTGCTTCAAAGCAGAGGGAAACAATTTTTTGTGTTAGCCAAGAATATTCGAGAATGTCGGGATTGCTTGACAGAAATTGGCTTAGTTTGCCCGTGAGCAAGGGTTTTTTTTTTAAGTTGAACTTTAATAAGCTAATAATGGGACATGAAGTGTTTTTCTACGCCAGTAAGAGTGATGCTGTAATCCAGGCGGGCCAATAGCCACCACGAAATGCTCCCAAAAAGCGACTGCGCCAAGTTAAGCGAACGACTTGAAGGTTATTGTTATAAACTGTCGCAGTTTTAAAAACAAACAAGAGCAGTATGATTCGCTGTTAGATCTGGTTACCCCTAAAGTAGTGATTGGTACAGAATCTTGGTTGGACAGCACTGTAACTAACAACGAGATATTCCCATCAAATTCCAGTGTACCGCAAGGACCGTACCGCAAGGACCGTACCGCAAGGACCGTAAAAAAACACCACCTTGCGGTGGTGTTTTTTTCATGGTTCATAGTAGTTTGAATTGTAGTCGTATTGAGGTTGAAAGTACGTCATGTGAAAGTACGTCGTTTTACAGGCCACCTGCTTCCAATACTCCTCCATGTATCTTCGACTTAAATAACATACTACTGTCCTTAGATGCAACGTATACCATTTTTTGGAGGAGATTTCAACTTACGAAATATTGACTGGCTCTCTCACGAGCCGAAAAAACCACTTCGTTAACTTTTTACTCTGCATTTCGTGAAATGAATAATGCACATACCATAATCCAATTTGTACAAACTCCCTCGAAAATAGCCCCAAATAGTGCAAATGTGCTAGACTTGTTGTTTTGTTCTGAACGCACTCTCATTAGTTCTGTTAGTTTATTACCGGGTATAAGCGACCATGAAATTGTTCTTGCACACACACCTATCTTGTGTTCTAAAGCGTTGCCACGTTCCTGCTTCGAGGCAGGTGTTCCAATATGATAGAGCCAATTATGCCTCACTATCACAGGAGCTTGACGAATTCCTGCCTTTTTTTCAAACAGCACATTTCTACTCTTGACATAGAATCTGCATGGAACCTATTGAAAACCAAAATTTTATCGCTCATATAGTCATTCGTTCCGTCTCGAGTAATCACATCTAACCGTCAGGCAGATAAACCATGAATTAGAAGAAATATTCGCGCATTGATAGATAAACGACATCGCCTGTATCGTACTGCAAATCGCCGAATCCAGACTTTTTCAGCTAGATGAAGGAACTCAGTAAAAATGTAGCAAAAGAAAAGTGCGAGGCAGAAAGCGCGTATCTAGATGCAATGGGCAAAAAACGAAAATCTAACCCAAAAGAAGTCTGGAAGTACGTCAGAATCAAGCAAACGACGAAGGAAATTATAGATTTTAGGATATTATAGATATTATAAATTAAGTATATTATAGATATTGCCATCTAGATATTATATATGGCAATAACTATGCCGGTAACCTTAAAGGAAAAGCTGAAAAGTTCAGTAACTACTTCGAATCTGTATTCGTACAGTCGATCTCCAGGCCAGTGGCCTGAAAACTGTTTTGAACTTACCACAAATGAGTGATATATCCTTTTGCGAGCAGGGAATAATAACCTTAACTACAAAAAGTGAATGTGAAGTCAGCCCCCGGAACCGATCACATTTCGAATTATGTATTAAAGAATTATGCTGCATCGTTTGCCCCTTTCTAACGATTCTCTATCAAAAGTTATTTGATTCCGGTGCTTTACCGCCTGACAGGAAAACTGCAAATGTCATTCCTATACTCAAAAGCGGCAATAGCACACAGAGTCGAAACTAAATACCTGTTTCACTAACTAGTGTTTCATGCAAGGTACTAGAGCATATAATTTACTCTAACCTAATGGCTCATGTCCAACAAAACAATTTTTTCACCCCAGCACAGCATGGATTCAGGAGAGGTCTCTCATGCAACACTCAATTGATTGAGTTTTCTCATGATATAGCTCTGTCGATTGGTAATGGCAAACAGGTGGACTGT